GGAATAGAACCTGGTGTGCCGGCGCCGCAAGGCGGAGGATTAGCCTAGCGAGCTGTGGCGCCGGCCTACTGTGATTTCTTTTATGTTATTGTTCATAATTGAGATTTACTAGTGTTGAAAAATAGTACAGAGATTTCAATTTGTACATAATTCTTAATATCCATCCCAAAATCTAAAAAGCATGAATTGTCATTCTTTTTTTAAAATTATTCTAGTGATTTTCCAGCTTCAAATCTGGAGGCAACCCTTCCTTAAGTGGATATCAAGTATCATTATCTTCAAATGTTGCTGTTATACATAAATTCACCCATTCACAATTTAATATCATACACATGACATACTCAGATTTTCAATCTTTGTACATTAACAAAATTAGGAACACTGGACTGTCACAACCAAAGATATTACAGAGTATACACAGTTCTATAGAACAAGAAGTGGTTTTCTATAGGAAACAATTCTACTAAACATGCAAGTAACTGAAAATATTCAAGATATATTAAATGCACAACTGTGACTCCAAATTGCCATTTAGTATATGTGTATACTAATGTATAGTATACATCCCCCATCTATGGAATGTTAAGCTGACACCCAGGACCAAGTCAAAGTCTTCCATAATTCAGTATTCCACTATTTTCTGGTTGTACCAAAAAATAAACAACTGGCAAATGACTTCACCTCTTAAAAAAAACTATTTACACCTAAAAAACAAGGTGAAGTAGGCTTTCCTCCATAAAAATGTTTCTAGAGTTACTAAAAAACTTGCAATTACAAAGCAGTTGATAAAATAATCCTCTGGACTGTGCAAAAAGCGAGACAAGAACCACTGATAAGACACAGTGTATATTAATCAGACATGGTTTCTTTCTTTTCTGCTTCATCAGAAGTTGGATTCTCCTTATTTTTAGTTTCTCCATTTTCTGAAGGCAAATCTTTAGTTTCTTGGTTAGCCACCTTGGCCTGTTTTTAGTTTGCTTCTCTCTTCCCTTTTGTCTGTACTTTTTTGTCCAAGAACTTTTACTTCCTGGTTGCCTTTTTGGACTTTGCTTCCACTTTTGCAGGGGCAGGTTTAGCTGTGAACCTTGCGGATCTCTTGGGCTCTTCTTTTACCATCCCTTCTGCCAAGCTAACCTTCCTCTTTGGCATTTGGCAGTGGGAGGGTACGTGCTGGGTGCCTGCAGGCCACAGTGCACCAAGAGCATTCATAAAGCTTGGCTGCCTGGCTGCTGCTGCTCCTACTGCCACCCAAGCTGCTGGGACCCTACTGATGATTTCTGAAAAGGTACTTTGGGTTTGTTTTTGAAATATATTTTCACTGTATTCAAAATGTTAGTGTCACAATTTTTTCTTTCTCAATTTTAAGGTGTTCCTTAGTTGTATTTTGCTTGCATTGTTTCCAATGACAAAGACTTCATCTTTATCTTCACTCTTCCTCTATACAATGTTTTTCCTTTGGTTGCTTCTAAAATTTTCTATTGATCATTGTTAAGAATACTTTAACACGTGCCTTAATGTAGATTTTTTCTTCATATCTATTGTTCTTGGGATTCAACAAGATTTTTGAAACTCAAGTTTATAGTTTTCATCAAATTTGGAAAAATCTTGGTCATTATTCAATTTTTTTCCCTAATCATACTATCTCTTTAGGTGCTCTGATTAAACCTATAAGGCTGCTTGAAGCTGTCCCACAACTCAATGAGTTTTCATTCCTTTTTTTAAAAAAAATTTCCTCTTCTGTTTCATTTTGCAGTTTCTATTGATGTCTTAAAAGTCACTAATATTTTGTAAGATTAATCTGCTATTTTTCCATCCAGTGTATTTTCCATCTGAGACATTGTAGTTTTCATTTGTAGAAGTTCAGCTGAGTGGACACAGAGCTGTGTAATAGGTTAAGCCTCTGCCTGCAGCACTGGCATCCCATATGGGTGCCAATCTGTGTCCCAACTGCTCCTCTTCCGATCCAGCTCTCTGCTTGTGGCCTTGGAAAGCAGTGGAGGATGGCCCAACTGCTGAGGATCCTACATCCACGTAGGAGACCCTGAAGAAGCTCCTGGCTCCTGGCTTCAGATTGGCCCAGCTCCAGCCACTGTGGCCATTTTGGGGGTGAACCAGGGGATAGAAGACCTCTCTCTCTGTCTCTCCCTCTCTCTGTAACTACCTCTCAAGTAATTAAATCTTTGGAAAAAAATAAGAAGTTCAACTTAGTTTTACAGCACACAGCTCCCTAGTTAACTTTCTGAATATACGGAATACAGTTATAATAATTGTCCTAATGTCCTTGATTAATTCTATCATGTGTCATTTTAACCAACTGATTCATCTCATTATAGGTCTTGTTTTCGTGTTTTGTTAAATGCCTCATATTTTGCTGTAAGCAAGACTCTGTGAATTTTATTTTGTTGGAGCTGACAGAAAAAAATTAACATTTTTAAAATCAAGTCATTTCTTCTAGCTGTAGTATGTTCAGTAAAATATGACAGTACATTCTATGAAATCATAGTAAGTTTTCATTAAATACAAGAAACAATCACTATATAGGACTAAAGGAAGAGAAAAAATGAGTGATCAAAGCAAAAGCAAATATTGTATGAAAGCACAAGCAGGATTTTCTTTCCTTTTAAAGACAAATTGAAGCATGTTGCATTTCCAGGATTTGTATACCCTACACAAATAAAGATTTCAAAATGCAGATAGTTTGGAAACACTTTGAACCTTTAGGGTCTTGATTTTTTTTTTTTTTTTTGGACAGGCAGAGTGGATAGTGAGAGAGAGAGACAGAGAGAAAGGTCTTCCTTTGCCGTTGGTTCACCCTCCAATGGCCGCTGCGGCTGGCACACCACGCTGATCCGAAGGCAGGAGTCAGGTGCTTCTCCTGGTCTCCCATGAGAATGCAGGGCCCAAGGACTTGGGCCATCCTCCACTGCACTACCGGGCCACAGCAGAGAGGTGGCCTGGAAGAGGAGCAACCGGGACTAGAACCCGGTGTGCTGGCGCCGCAGGCAGAGGATTAGCCTATTGAGCTGCGGCGCCGGCCATAGGGTCTTGTTTTTTTAAACATTTATCTATCGAGAGAGAGCGAGAGCAAGAGTGAGTGAGCACATGCTCCTATCTGCTGGTTCACTAGCCAAATGCCCAGAACAGCCAGGGCTGGGCTAAGCTGAAGCCAGGAGCCAGGGAACAGGAACTAAATCTAAGTCTCTCGGGTAGGTAGGAGAACCCAATCACTGGAGCCATTCCTGCCACCTGCTTTGGTCTATATTAGCAGGAGGCTGGAGCTAGAAGCCAGAGCTAGGGATCAGGTACTCGGAAAAATTATGCAAGTTTCTCAAGAGGCATCTTAACCACTGGGCCAAATTCTCACCCCTCAGGTATTTTATGATTTGTCTGGATGGTCCAGGTGTTTTTAATTACTAAGGTAACATCTTCTTGAATACTCTACCTAATGCCAAATTATTTATGAGGTTTTCCAGTTTGTTGGAGACAAGCATTATTCCTGGCCCTGTGTAAACTTCTTTTAATCCCTCTGGATTACTGTTTTCCCTGTCCTTTGGTAGTTTCCTCACACTTACTTGGTGATCAATACTACATGGCTGAAGGCAACCTTCAGCACATCTGCAGTTCTACATAGCTCTCATCTGAGCTTCTATCTTGTGAACTAAGCTATCTCCTTTCCCCAAAAATCTTACGGCTCTATCTCTTCAACTGAAGCTGACTGCTATAGCACTTCCTACACCACAGTCTGGAAACTCAGTAGCATAAGCTAGGAAAATTGTTAAATTTATCTGGTTTATTTCGTTTTCTTTGGCTCTCTTTCTTTCATGAACTGATGTTCAGTTTCCTGAAAACTGATGTATTATGACATCTTTTTTTTTCTTCAAGTGGGAGGATAAATCCATCCCTTTTATTCCAAGTTAATTAGAAGTGAGATTTTGATGATTTTAATTAATTTTAAACTAACTTCCCAAGTACCAGTGCCCAGAATCAAGATTTCACTACTTCCATTGCATTAGCATGACTATTTTCTCTAACTGCCTTCTTTGTCTATAGTTTTTTACCTAAAATATTTCCTCCAGAGTCACTGAGTAATAAAACTAAAACATAATCACTAGTTCTCATTGCCTACAGAATAAGACTTAGTTTCCTTAACACAGCATCTAAGTTTTTCAAGACTTGCTAGCCACCTCTGATTCTGAATTTCATATGCAACAACAATGAATTATACTTACTTTCCAGGCTCTGCATGTTTTCTTTACGTCTGTGCTTTTACATATTTTGTCACCTTTACCAGGAAATACTACTTTTTCCCAGTCCTCCATGACAAATTTATCATCCTTAAACATTTATCTGATGTGTTACTTTCTCCAGGAAGTAATCATCCCTCAGCTTGGGTTAGAAGCTCCTTTAACACTTAAGCACAACTTTAACATTACAGGGTAATACATTACAATTATGGTTTTATGTCTGTCTCTTCTACTTTACCATATGCTCTTTGCAGATAAGGTTTATATCTTATTCAATTTTGTACATGTAATGACAAGTATAATACTTAGTATACAGTAGCTGCTTAATAAAGCCATACTCATTCTGAACTGAAATAATGAATTATTCCAACTATGTGTACACTAACTTTCCATTTTGATCTGTGGAACTATTATTTCTTTAATATACCTATCACAATACTGAGCTTGATGCTTACTAATAAACACTGATTAAGCATTTTTTATTGTGTTACAATATTTTTCTTAGATATGACAGACTGTCTTTGTTAAGCCTGAGATTTTACCTAAAATCTTGTTAACCTCTGAGATAAGATACCAACTTGATAATAAATTTCTCATCTTTTGTAATGCATATATTAATGTTTCCTGAAAGACAATGGCAAGAGAGCTTTTGTGTCATTGAAAAATCACATACAATTGATTTTTAGCAAAATTAGAAAATTGGTAATGTTTCTGGTAAAAAATAAAAATCAGTAACATTTTATAAAACCAAGTCACCTGTTGATCAGTAGTATATTCTGTAGCAGAGTCATAAGTGTAGCTCCTATTTGAACATTGTCAGTTTGCAGTAAGTGTAAGAAATGATCACTTTGTAGTACTAAAGGAAGAAAAAAAGGAGGAAAATTAAAGCAAAGATTCTATGATAACAAAAATGGGATTTTATTCTTTTTAAACCACATCAAAGTGTGACCATTTCTGTTAAACTTCTTGGCTTTATGTAGCCTAAAAAAAGATGATTTTAAGATGCAGAAATCTTAAACAGCTATAAATAACAGTCATCCCACTTTTATGAATAGTTATAGTCAAGCTAAGAATTTATTATTTTTCTCTTTAAATTTCAAGTAAAATAATATATCCTAGTTTGAATTCTTTTTCTACCTATGAATTTCAGTAAATAAAACCAAATTTCCCATGGCTGTGACAGAATATTAAGGCAATTATATCATGGATAACTATCAATTGTCAAGTTCTTGAAAAATAATTTTGCTACATAATATTTTAAACAATAATGAAAACATTAAGTACAATCTTTTTGCTTTGATTAGTTACAATTTTTAGATTCTAAGCAGTTCTTATGACGTGGAATTGGATTTTTTTCTAAGTTGTTTAATCTCTCAGAACTTCCATTTCTTCATCTGCAATAACAGTTATCACATGGGCTAATGTGTCCTAGAACAGAGTATATTTTCTTTTTTTATATTTTATTTATTTGAAAGACAGAGTTGCAGAGAGAAGTAGAGACAGAAAGAGAGGTCTTCCATCCGCTGGTTCACTCCCCAGATGGCCAATCCGGAGCCAGGAGCCAGGAGCTTCTTCTGGGTCTCCCACGTGGGTGCAGGGGCCCAAGGACTTGGGCCATCTTCTACTGCTTTCCCAGGCCACAGCAGAGAGCTGGATCAGAAGTGGAGCAGCCGGGACTAGAACCGGCACCCATATGGGATGCCAGCACTTCAGGCCAGGGCTTTAACCCGCTGTGCCACAGCGCCAGCCCCTGAACAGAGTATATTTTCAATAAATATCATTGTCTATTCCCTTCTCCACTAACTAAGCAGAATTTTAATATCAGTTATGATGGTAAGCTAGTGCTGTGTACACTACAATTATTCCTTTCCTATTTCTATCTCTGAGAGAATAAATACGATTTCTCTGATACCAAAATTCTATTTTTCGTTCTTTTTATGAAGTCTAATATTTCACCTGATCCATTTTTTAAATGTGTAACAATTTAGAAAAATAATTATTAAATATTTCTATTTTTTATTACCTTAGTAAAAAAAAACTCTTCCCTGTAGCTAGAATAAGTATATTTGCCATTATTATTAGTAGTATATTATTAATATCTCTTGAATTAACTTTGAATATGTTTTTATTTATTGGAAACATTTACACTAAAATAATTTATTAAAGTCATTCCATTTTATTATTGTTTGAAAGATTTATTTATTTATTTGAAAGGCAGAGCAACAGAGAGAAAAAGAGACAACAGAGACACAGAAAGAGATCTTCCCTCTACTTCCCTTCACTCCCCAAATGCCTGCAACAGCCACAGTGGGCCAGGCCAAAGCCAGAAGCTAGTAACTCCATTTGGTTCTCCCACATGAGTGGCAGGATCCAAGTCATTAGCCCAGGGGCCCAGGCACATTAGCAAGAAGTTGGATTAGAAGCAGAGTAACCAGTACTTCACTAACACTCAGATATAGGATACCAGCACTGCAAGTGGCAGCTTAACCCTCTGCATCACCACATTGGCTCCCCATTTTATTTTTTATTTTTTATATTGTCTCATAATATATTACCATATAATTAATTTGGGGGGCCCCTGCTGTTTTTCAACTGTAGGCAAGTAACTTGATAGAGTAAGTTCTACTTTCCTGCCACCACTCCTCCAAACAAAAACCAACACTTTACCTGTTTATTTAAATTTTTCATAATGAAAATTTTAAACAAACCTAAGAGCAGACAGGATAGCATTTGTGCAAATCTTAACAAAAATTAATTCCTGGCCAATCTTGTTGATCCCTAGCCTACACCAATGGTGACTGTTTTGGCATCTTACTATATTTGGCATCTTCAATCTACTGCATTTATTATCCTTATTACTGTTCATAATTTCCTGTATGTGGCTAGTAGAAGACCCTGAATCCTTTCCATAATCTCCTAATAGATTTTGCTGGCTTCCCTTATATTTGACAGTCCAGACACTGAAGCTCTCCTTGTATACTTTCTACTCCAGGCCAATAGTCAGCCATTTGTCCAAGGACTTGATTCCTTTTAAAGAAAAAAAGCTGTTGGAAATGCCATTTTTGATGTGCCTATTTGTATTTGCATATAAATTTTACAATGATTTAACTTAGTTTTCATAGCTACCTTATAGATATTTTAATTAAGTTGAGAGGCAGAAAGACAGACACAAAGCTCCCATTTATTGCTTCACTCCTCAAATGCTTGCAATAGCTGGGGCTTTGCAAGACTGAAGCTGGAAGTAGGAAACTCAATCTATATCTTTTACATGAATAGCAAGGACCTAGCTACTTGAGCCTCTTTGGGTACTCATTAGCAGGAAGCTGGAATAGGGAGCAGAGCTGGGACTTGAACCCAGGCACTCTAGTATAGGATGCAGGTATCCCAACCATCATCTAATCCATGGATATTTTATTTTTAAACATATTTATTTATTTATTGTTATTTACTACTTGAAGGGCAGAGCTTAAGGGAGGGAGGAAAGTAGAGAGGGAGGGAGGACGGGGAGAGGGAAAGCGAGGCAGAGATGGAGGGGAAGAAAGAAAGAGAGAAAATTGTTCACGAGAGGGGTAGGGGAAGGGGAAGGCGGAGGGAGAGAGTGTGGGGGAGGGAGAGGATCGTTCACTCCCCAGATGGCAGCAATAGTTAAGTCTGGGCCAAGCTGAAGTCAGGACCCAGGAACTCCATCTAGTATCCCACATGGATGGCAGGGTAAGGGGAGACATAATTTATGTACTTTTTTAAAAGATTCATTTATTTGAAAGGCAGGGTGACAAGGAAAAAAGAGAGAAAGAACAAAGTGGGCCACCATCTCCTGCCTTCCTAGGCACATTAGCAGGGAGCCGGGTTAGAAGCAGAGTCATTGGGACTAAAACCAGCACTCCAATATTGGATGCTGTCATCACAAGCACGATTTAACCCACTGTGCCACAACACTGTTCTCATCTGTAAATATTTTAAACATATAGATTAACTCAAGAAACATTATCCTTTTTGTTATATTATTGTTTTCCAAAGGAATATTGTATTTTTAAAACACTAATCAAATACTCTGTCTCTTTTTACTAGGTCTTTTGTATCCATAATCCTAAATGCTTTAATATTTGTGGTTAAATAGCTCTTTAAACTCAGAACTTTTAATATTTGTTCTATAATGGGAAATTAATAGTAATGGTTTTTAAAAAGGAAGCATTTAGACATGTTACTTAGCTATATCGATATCACTGACCAAAAGTGTTAGTTATACTAATTGAAAGTGGCTACATTTGGAATATGGGAAATAAGAGTGGGTGTAAGAGTTAGGTATTTTTCTTAAATATCCTTATTGAATTATTTGATTTTTAGTGCATGTATGATTCTGAAGAGAAAAAGAGGTAAAAATAAAGCATCAAAGTATTGTTTCCTTTAAAAAACATCCCTATAGTATTGCATTTATGTCAAATCAAATTTTTCACACTTTTAGTTATATCTATATAGTTAAGTAACATGTCTAAATACTTCCTTTTTGAAAACCATTACCTATTAAGTTCCCATTACAGAAAAAATGTTATTAAAAGTTCCCAGTTTAAAGAACTATTTAACCAAAAAAATGTAAAACGTCATCATATGAAAGCTTATTCTTAAGTTGGATGGATAGGCTTATGAGTTAAATCATATTTACTCTGTATATAGGGATTTCTCTCACAATAGATCTAAAGCACTAACTGTAATATTTGAAATGTAAAAACTGTTTTTCTGGATTAAGCTGTGCAAATGATCAGATCTACTAAAATTATCTGAGATTTATGAAACAGTAAAATGTAAGGGGAGACATAATTTATGTACTTTTTTAAAGATTTATTTGAAAGGCAGGGTGACAAGGAAAAGAGAAATAAAGAACAATTTTCTGTCCATTGATTCATTCCCCAAATGGTCACAATGGCCAGGGCTAGGCCAGGCCAAAGCAAGGAGCCTGCAACTCCATCTGGGTCTCCCATGTTGGTAGCAGGGACACAAGTGCTTGGGTCATTTTCCTCTTCTTTTCCAGGTACATTATCAGGGAACTGGATCAGAAGTAGACCAGCTGGGACCCATACCAGTGCCCATACGGGATGCTGGCATAATAGGCAGTGGCTTAATTTGCTGCACCACAATGCCAGCCCCAAGAAAGTTATATTTTAGCAATATTTCTCTTGATATAATATTCATATTGTCAATGTTGACAATTTAAAGCTCAAATTTGGAATTGGCTTTTTAAATTATGGCATTATTTCAACATGGTTTTGTTTCACTGTGGCCATAGTATGGTTTATGAGGAATTTATTTTTAGAAAAAATACTGAACTGTTAGCAGTTGACTCTACAGTAACTATCAGTCACATTAAGATCTTTTCTCTTACCGTTCTGTATGAGTTGAACATGGCCTCCCAATAGCCAGAAGAGAGAATCAGTCAGAATTTGGAAAATGTGTAGTAATTCATCCTTTTCTTCACCCTTAACACACAAGAAAAACCAAATTTACTTTTCTGTAACTTATTTTTATAAGGAAAAAAAAAAAAAAAACCTCTCTGGTGAGTCAGAGAATCTGGTTTCCAGATCTAACTTAGCTGTTTGGGAGTTACGTAATTATACAGGTTTTAGTTTAATTTGTAAAGCCAGTGGCTAAAGGAGACTAACACGCTACCTATTAACCTACTAAAAATAGTTGTTATCCAGAAAAATAAAAGACTATAAATGGCATAAGAATACAAGTTGAAACACTAGGATTTCTTAACACTTGCTATGTATCAGAATCACCTGTGGAGCTTTTTAAATTACATACATGATTTAATCCAAATATACTGAATCTGAATCTCCAAAGATAAAGTCTGAACATCTGTTATTTTCATGAAATCAGGTGGTGATTTGGTTATAAAGTCAGAGTTGAAAGCCACTACAATATGCAAATATAGGTGTCCACATGTAAGGTATTATTAATAGTTCACTTCAGTTCTAGTTTCCACTCTATGACTTTTTAGGGGCAGAGGTCATGTCATTTAGTGCTCCATGATGAACTCAGTGTCTCAAATAGTTCGGACACAATTAACATTTTATCAGTAAACAAATTATTTTTTTCCCAGTTCTTCCTTTCTGGAACGTAGAGTAAGAAATCAGCCTAGATTAAAGTGTTACAATGGGAAATAAGAAGCACAGATTCCACTTACAATTTTGTCATTTATGTAAATTATGGAAAGGTGTATAAAGACCACTTTATGTCTGAAACATACTGTAGTAGAACAGTATCAATGACAATAGTAAAAATATGATTGCCATGATTATTCTCTATAATAATGAAAGGATTTTCTATTATTCTAGTACAGGGATAGATAGGTGCTGACTTAAATACTGAAAAAAACACCACCAAAAAAAAAAGTCACTTCAGATATAAAATTTGGTTCAGTAAACTGACTTTACCAGTGTTACCCAAAGACATGTCAGAAAGGGGATAGCAATTCTTCACTGCTGCTAATTTAAAACAATAGTCTTATACTTCTTATTTCCTTTTTTTTTTTTTTTTTTTTTTTTGGACAGGCAGAATGGACAGTGAGAGAGAGACAGAGAGAAAGGTCTTCTTTTTCCATTGATTCACCCTCCAATGGCCGCTGTGGCCGGCGCACCGCACTGATCCAAAGCCAGGAGCCAGGTGCTTCTCCTGGTCTTCCATGCGGGTGCAGGGCCCAAGGACTTGGGCCATCCTCCACTGCACTCCCGGGCCAGAACAGAGAGCTGGCCTGGAAGAGGAGCAACCGGGACAGAATCTGGCACCCTGACACCACTTTTCTTAAAAAGCCCTTTAAATAGGAGCCAGTGGTGTGATGCAGTACGTCAAGTCGCCATTTGGGACTCAGATATCCCATATCGGGATGTTGGATTGAGTCCTGGCTGCTCTGCTTCCCATCCAGCTCTTTGCTAAAGCACTTGGGAAGGAAGTGGATGATAGACCAAGTGTTTAGGCCCTTGCCACCCATGTGGGAGACTGGGATAGAGTTCTTGGTTCCTGGGTTCAGAATGGCCCAGCATTGGCTGCTGTAGCCATTAGGAGAGTGAACAAGTAGATCAAAGATCTGTCATTCCCTCTCTGATGTGCCTTTTTTTTTAAATTTTTAAAATTTTATTTAAGGAATACAAACTTCATGCATTTCATAAATACAAATTCACCCTCCCTCCTGCCCATACTCCCACCCTTCTTTCTCCTCCCTTTCCTACTCCCATTCTTATTTTTTTTTAAAGGTTTATTTATTTATTTTTAATTTTTTTTTTGACAGGCAGAGTGGACAGTGAGAGAGAGAGACAGAGAGAAAGGTCTTCCTTTTTGCCATTGGTTCACCCTCCAAAGGCCGCCACGGCACCGCACTGATCCGAAGGCAGGAGCCAGGTGCTTCTCCTGGTCTCCCATGGGGTGCAGGGCCCAAGCACTTGGGCCATCCTCCACTGCCTTCCCGGGCCACAGCAGAGAGCTGGCCTGGAAGAGGGGCAACTGGGAGAGAATCCAGCGGCCCGACCGGCACTAGAACCCGGTGTGCCGGCGCCGCTAGGTGGAGGATTAGCCTAGTGAGCCGCGGCGCCGGCTCCCATTCTTATTTTATACAAAGATCTATTTTCAGTTAACTCTATACTCATAAGATTAACCCTATACTAAGTAGAGAGTTCAACAAACAGTATGAAGAAAAAACAAAAACAAAAAACATTGTTCCTCAATAGTCAAGACAAGGGTTGTTCAAAATCATGATGTGCTGCCTTTCAAATAAATAAGCAAATTTTTAAAACAACAAAAAAAAAGCCCGTTTGATAATGTTATCCATAAATGGTTCCCAACACAGGTTAACAAGACTTATCCTTACAATACTTCAAATACTCACATAGGTATTTTTTTTTTAAATATTTGTTTATTTATTTGAAAGTCAGAGTTACAAAGCAGAGGCAGAGAGAGATGCATCTTCCATCTGCTGGTTCATTCCCCAAATGGTGCAATAGCCAGGGCTGGACAAGGCCAAAGCCATGAGCTTCATCTGGATCTCCCATGTGGGTCACAGGAGCCCAAGGGCTTGGGCCATCATTCACCGCTTTCCCAGGCACATTAGCAGGGAGCTTGATTGGACGGAAGTGGAGCAGTCAGGACTGGAACCGGTGCCCATGTTGGATGCTGGCACCACAGGTGGCAGCTTTACCTGCTATACCACAGCGCTAGCCCCATACACATTTTTTATCCCCTAGTATACATACACACACACACACACAGATATTAGATATTCTATACACATTTTCTTCTTGGCTTTGGAGATTATGGATGTTTAACCAGTAAAGTCTATGCAAATACTTGTTTTCCAAAATCTGAAAAACTCCAAAATAAGAAATATCTCTGATATCAAACATTTTAGAGAATATTTAACTGCATATAACAATTATAATATATTATAATATATAGTGCTTTGTTGTAGCAGGTAAAGCCTCTGACTACAATGCTGCTATCCCAAATGGTTCATGTCCTGGCTGCTCCATTTCCTATCCTGCTCCCTGTTAATGTGCGTGGGAGAGCAGCAGAGGATGGCCCAAGTCCTTGGGCCCCTTGCACCCACTTGGACTGGCCCAGCTCCAGCCATTGTGGTCATTTGGGGAGTGAGCCAGTGGATGAAAGCTCTCTCCCTCTCCCTCCCTCTCCTTTTCTCTCTCTGTAACTTTGCCTTTCAAATAAAAACAAATAGATCTTTAAATATATATATTACAATTTGTATATATAATTGTATGTAACAATTACATTACACATAATATACAAAACTATAGCAATGTCAACATAATATATATTACATAATACATTAACATATACTATATAAAAGAAATAATTATTACTGCTCATAAAGGAAAATATTAAATAGACATGTTTTGATGAGAAGATAAACTTTATGTAATGGCCTGGGCTGTTGATGAGACAGAAATCATTTTACAAAAGAGGAAAATGAGGTACAATGAAATAAAGTGATTTGCCTAAACGCTCTAGAGTTAGTTTATAGTACAGCTGGTTAAAAAAATCAAGTCAAACACAATCTCTCATAGCTCATGTTCCTTCAGGTGACCTAAATAAATAAAACTAAATAAACTAAATCTAGCAAATATGAAAATATTTAGTGTTAGTGTCCCTCAAAATAGCAATGGAGATGTCAGAAGTAGAATCTGTGACCTATGATATGGAAATCATATGTTCTACCACGGCGTTAAATCTGCCAACAATTTCTTATAATCAAACTAACATGTTGTTCATATTGTTGTATTTCCCATTCAATTTCACTCTGTGGCACGGCAGGTAAAGCTGCCGCCTGTAGTGCCTCTCTCTCTCTCTCTCTCTCTGTCTCTGCCTCTCTGTAATTCTGAATTTCAAATAAATAAATCAATCTTAAAAAAACCACACAAAACCAAAATAATACAAGATTTTGTCTACTTTATTAGCCCAGGAGTTTCTTAAATTTACTCTTTATATACTCAAAGCACCTAAAATGGAACTTAAGATAGTGACTGTTATGGACCGTTTGTGTCCATCAAAATTCGTATGTTGAAGCTCTAACCCCCATGTGATATTTGGAGGTGGTATGGTGCTAGGTCATTACACTGATGTTTAGATGAGGTCAAGAGAACGACATCCTCATGACAGAATCAGTGCTCTTATAAGAGGCGGCAGATAGGACAGATAGGACAGCTCCCCTCATTCCTGTACTCCCACAAACAAAGTAACATGAGCAAACAGAGTGGCCTCAAGAACCAAACTGTAATCACCTTGATCTTGGACTCCCCAGACTCTAGAACTGCAATAAATAAGTGCCTGTTTTAGAAGCCACTCAGTCTATGGTATTTTAATTTTTTAAAATTTATTTACTTATACTTATTTGAGAGAGCAAGAGAGCACATGCAAGTGCATGCCTTTGTATCTAATAGTTTCCTCCCCAAATGCACACCATGGCTGGGACTGGGCCAGGCCAAAGCCAGGAGCAAGGAACTCAATCCAGGTCTTCCACATGGATGGCAGATACCCACTTAAGTCATCACCTGCTGCCCTGCAGGTTGTGTATAAGCAGGAAGCTGGAATCAGAAGTAGAGATAGGACCAAATCTAAGCACTCCAATAGGGGATGAGGGAGTCCCAAGCTGCATCTTAACTGCTACACCAAATGCTTATCTTTAAAAATTTTTAACTAGAGATTTGAAAAATTAAATAGAAAACTGATATTTACTCCATGTTCACTACTCATTTTTTCATTTTTTTTAACAGGCAGAGTGGACAGTGAGAGAGAGAGACAGAGAGAAAGGTCTTCCTTTTACGGTTGGTTCACCCTCCAATGGCTGCTGCGGTCAGCGAACTGCGCTGATCTGAAGCCAGGAGCCAGGTGCTTCTCCTGGTCTCCCATGCGGGTTCAGGGCCCAAGCACTTGGGCCATCCTCCATTGCCCTCCCGGGCCACAGCAAAGAGCTGGCCTGGAAGAGGAGCAACCAGGACAGAATCCGGCACCCCGACCGGGACTAGAACCCGGTGTGCCAGCACCACAGGCGGAGGATTAGCCTATTGAACCGCGGCGCCAGCTCATGTTCACTACTCATAAAAGTCCTCACAAACTACTCACAAAAGTCCTGGGCCTGGAGAATGTACTTTCCTCTACTAATAATTAAAGCAGAAAGTGTGTTTTAGGAATGCTATGGATATAAGTATTTATGGCTTATGTTGAAAGTTGAGTAGTAAGGCAGATCCTTTGGAAAGTTATACAGTATGCTTTAGCTACCATTTAAAAATTTTCAAATGTAGAGATGATTTTTGGGGTTGTAACTTTAAAAAAGCTAAAACCCATTGTTCTATATACTTTTAGCCAAATACTGCATCCCTGAAAATTAAAATGATTTGTCTACAAAGCACTAAATAAACACACACACATACCTTAGCTGCATTGATAAAACATGTTTGCAATCGTCTTCCCAAAATTAGAAAATTTTCTGTAGCTGATGGAAGTAATTCCTTATAAAATTCCTCTGCATCTTCTCCAGGTTCTAAGCCCACACAGCAATGGCTGAAATAAATTACAAATTTGTGTTCATTATAAATTTCAGTTAAATATTCAAGCTTTTACAGAGATTGTATCATAATAGGACCTTTTAGAATCAACCTGGTTGCCAGGCCAATGAAGAACTTTTCTTGGAAAACTGGTCTAAGAACTTTCTCAAACAGTAGACTATGGCGTAGGCCTTTCTTATACTTAGGTCCAGAATTCACATGTACAGAAGACCTACAAGTACTTCAGGAAACAAAAGACATTTGACTCACAATAAAGAGAAGCCAGTCAAGTTTTGAGTGAATTGACTGTAGCCATTCTAAAACCTTAGAATGCCTTCAGAGGGTTTTTTTTTTTTTTTTTTTTTTTTTTTTTTTTTTTTGACAGGCAGAGTTAGACAGTGAGAGAGAGAGATAGAGAGAAAAGTCTTCCTTTTCCATTGGTTCACTCCCCAAATGGCTGCTACGGCCGGCGCACTGCACTGATCTGAAGCCAGGAGTCAGGTGCTTCCTCCTGGTCTCCCATGCGGGTGCAGGGCCCAAACACTTGGGCCATCCTCCACTGCCTTCCTGGGCCACAGCAAAAAGCTGGACTGAAAGCAACCGGGACAGAATCCAGCACCCCAACCGGGACTAGAACCCGGGGTGCTGGTGCCGCAGGTGGAGGATAGGCCAAGTGAGCCATGACGCCAGCAGCCTTCAGAGTTTAATTCATGAACAATATTTGTGTTAACTGATGTACTTAGACCTTCAAGAGCAAAAAACACCCCTTACCCAGGGTAGGATTAGTCTTCAAGGCACAGAGAAAGAAATCAAAAGCTCTAATTTTACACCAGTTTGACTTTCCAATAGATACACTTTTGTAAGATCTGCACATCTGCATATTCCATATTATCAGAAGGGAAAACAGCAAAAATATAACTCACTAGGAACACTTTGCTATACATATTAAAGGAGAGAATTTCATTTAGAGAAATATGCCCTCTTGAAACGACATATAAAAGTTACTCCCTGGATATGAGTCAAATATATTCAGAAGTCTCAGTCATTTAAAAAAATTTTTAAAGCTTTTAAATTTATTTGCCAGACAGGGAAAGTGAGCAGTGAAAGCACTCTCATCTACTGGCTTACTCTGAAAACACCCTCAACAGCTGTACTGAGCCAGGACTAAGTCAGGAGCTGAGAACTCAACCCAGGTCTCCAGCACTGGGTGGCCAGAACTTCCTAACCACCACCACTGCCTCCCAGGGTCTGCATCAACAGGAAGCTGGAGTCAGGATCGAGAGCTGGGCCTTGAACCCAGGTACTCTGATACAGAATATGAAGAATTTAATCAGCATTTTAACAGCTATGGTAAACGCTTACCCAATAAAGAATATTAGTATAGACTAATACCAAAAAGAGCCCTCAGCCCAAAAGCAGGTGGTACTCATATGGGTAAGTATTGCTTTTTAAGTAATTTTTTATCACTGCTTTAAAAGATTTGGAAGGCAGAGTTAGAGAGAGAGGAGGAGAGACAGAGGCAGAGAGATATCTATAGATCTATCTTCCATCTGCTGGTTCACTCCTCAAATGGTCACAATTGCTGGGGCTGGAAAGAAGCCAGACTGACAGATGCCTGGAGGAACTCCATCTGGATCTCTGATGTGGATGGCAGGAACCCAAGTACTTGAGCCATTCTCTGCTGTCTTCCCAGGCACATCCACAGGGAGTTGTATCAGAAGTGCAGCAGCCAAAACCTGAACTGGTGCTCACACAGGATGCCAGCATCACAGGTGGCAGCTTATCAACTGTGATCTAATGCTGACCCGTTTGGGTCTTTTCAACAAAATGTGCGGATATTGATAACTGATGAATATATATGGAGCACGCTAAAAACGTAACTGGCATAATTCACATGAATCAAGTATTTTTTTGTTTGTACTTTTTTTATTAAAGATTTTATTTATTTGAAGGGCAGAACAACAGAGAGAGAGAAACAAAGCAAGAGAGACGTCTTCCATCCTGTGGTTCACTCCTCAAATAACTGCATCAGCCAGGGCTGGGCCAGACCAAAACCAGGAGTCTCCCCTGGGTCTCCTACATGGGGTTGGGGCCCAAATACTTGGGGCATTTTCTGCTGCTCTCCCAGGCACACCGGCAGAGAGCTGGATCAGAAATGGAGCAGCTAGAACTTGAATTGGCACCCACACAGGATGCTGGCATTGCAGGTGGTGACTCTACCCACCACACCACATCACCGGCCCAGGTACTTTGATTTCTAAAGTTAATAGGGGTAATGTGCACATGTATCAATTTTTCTTTTCTCTTTAGTTCCTAATGTTAATTATTTAAAAGGAACTATTTTGATTTAGAGTACTAACATATAAAATTATATTTATTTGTGCATTCACAAACATGAGAACTTGCTTGAATCCCATCCCAGAAAGTCTAGCTTGAACAATGTTGTCAAGAGTTAGCATATTTAATCAAAACAAAAACATAAGGCTTTATTTATTGAAGGAAATCATTCATTTAAAAACTAAAATATAAAAAAATCCATTTATTAATGGTTTTAACAATATATTTTAAATTTGGCCTTTAGTAATAAAGTAGGAATAAGCAGTTTAGAAAGTTAGGATATAAGCCATAGTGTAAATATGACAAACCCCTTCAGTGGGGTATAGTTCATTAAAAATCAAATAGCTTGTTTAAACAAGGAAAAAGCAGGCTAACATTTATTTAATAAATGCATTCTTTCAGTTATTTAATCAGGAAGTGGTTTAGGCATTAAAAACATCTGATTTTACTGCCTTCTTTTAAAAAGTGATTGTAATCTTTTTTCTATAATTTTTAGCATAGCAGTAAAAAAGTAAATGCTGCTCCTAAATTTTAATGATAGGATGTGTCAATAAAATAGCTTTGATATCGCTTCTCCTATAGCACTTTCACTTTAGCACCTATTTCATTTTGCCTTGTATCATACAATTACATGATTTTCTATCTCTATTTTAAGTTCTGAAGTACAAAGCCAGTGACTTTCTTTATTTCTTCAAATATTTCTCAGCAAAGAGTATATTAGATACTTATTCAACAAAAGAAAGGATCACGATCCTCATGAAGCTTATGGAAGGAAATCTGAGAGTCAGTTGCAAATAGAAATATGAACAATAGCATATTGTACAAAGGAAAAGTACAATCAAAGCACCACAGCAGGTTTCCAATACTTGTTAAGCAGATAAAGATAGAAGTAAATTCTGAAAATCAGAATAACTACATCCCTCAAGAACAAGCAGATTTATTGCTTAATTTTACCTTAATATCTGTGTAAGCTGGGAAATTGTAGTCCAACCACCCTGGATTCGAGAGCAATCTTGACTAAGGACCAAAAGGCAATACTGAATGAGGTCATAACAATATATATCTTGTTTGATTTTCTTCAATTCTGAGCTTCCTAAAGGTGTGTCATTTATTATTTCTAAGGCAAAGAGAAATAAGATATACTTATTTTTGTTCAATATATCCAAAATCTACTTGTATTTTTATATGTTGACTAACCATTAAAAATAATTAAAAGGTAAAGCATTATCACTGTTATAGTATAGATTTCTCTGGACAAATGAGAAGTTGTAACAATGATGAAATTATTTTTTATTTAAACCACATTACACAATCACAAAATGATTTTCTTACCTTTTAACTTCAACAATATAACAGGAACATTCTGCTCAGGACTTTTTGCAACTTCAGCAGCTAGAGATAAAATCCTTGGGTCTGTACCTGTTGGCTTCATTTCTTATACAACCTACATTTTTAACAGAATAGAGAATAAAGTATTCATTACCTAAATAATGTTTGTTACATAAATGAAGATAGCTTTTCTTGCCTTATTTGAAAAGAGAAGAGTAAATTTTTATCACATCTTGGGAAATAGTGGAAATAATGGCAGTTTAACGTACTGTACCACAATTCCTGTCCCAGGCTTGCTCTTTTGTAACAACCCTGTAATGAGGACTAACCAGGGTCCACAAAGAACAATAATCCCTTCTGAAGACAGCCTCCCAAATGACCTATTTATTTCATACTAAACCCCACCCAAAAAAGTCCCACTCTCTTAACACCATCACACCGGGGCAGTTTCCAATACATTAACCATTGAGGGACAAACCAGATCCAAACCATAGCAGTGACCCATCTTTCAATAAAAATTCTAGTCACTGGGGCAGGTGTCTAGCCTGGTGGTTAAGATGTCAGTTAAGGGGCTGGTGCTGTGGCATAGTAGGTTAAACCAAAAAATCTGTCATGATTCTAACAGCATGTGGTGACAAATTAAATCAAATCAGTTTGACTCCAAAGTCTATGGTTTTAAATACTATATTCCCTCCTATGTAAAATAATAATACAAATCATATTCCCAAATATCCTACTTCTCACTTTTTTCTTTTTTTGACAGGCAGAGTTAGACAGTGAGAGAGACAGAGAGAAACGTCTTCCTTCCGTTGGTTCACCCCCGCAAACGGCCGCTACGGCCGGCGTGCTGCGCCGATCCGAAGCCAGGAGCCAGGTACTTCCTCCTGGTCTCCCACACGGGTGCAGGGCCCAAGGACTTGGGCCATCCTCCACTGCCTTTCCAGGCCACAGCAGAGAGCTGGACTGGAAGAGGAACCAGGACAGAACCGGCGCCCCAACTGGGACCAGCGCCGCAAGCAGAGGATTAGCCTAGTGAGCCGTGGCTCCAGCCTCTCACTTTTTACAACTATTATTCTTCACAACTAGCACTATGGTTCATCCTTTATATTGAAGAGTTGGCCATCACACAATAAATCATCTCATTAAGAAAAATATAAATCATTAATAGATAATACCTGGTCAATGGGAAGCCCAAAACATTGCAAAAGAGAACACATAATAATCTCATTCTTTCCAATGGTTAAATTACACTATGTTTCCTTTATAAAGGTGCATCAAGATATATTCAAACCTCGCCGTTATTTGAGGTCATTCAGGTTAACGTTAGCATTAAGCAATGCTACAATGAATATTGATGTATGCATCTTTATGCAATCATGACAGAATTTATATAGGATGAATTTCCCTTGATATTGGGTCATAGGATATATATATTTTAAATTTCAAGTAGAATCAGTTTTACTCCAAAGTGATTGTTCCAGTTTATACTTCTACCAAAATATGACGATTCTCATTTTACTGCACTTTTTAAATACTTAATGTTAACTTTCACATTTCATTTGCTAAATGAAAGATGGTATGATCTTGTTTTAATTTGTATTTCTTTGAGTATCAGGTAAGTCAGGCACATTTTATGATCACTGGCCACTTTTTCTTTTTATTATTATTATTATTTATTTGAAAGGCAGAGTTACACAGAGAGGGAAACAGAGAGGGTGATCTTCCGTCTGCTGGTTCACTCCCCAAAGAGCCACAACAGCAAAGGCTGGGCCAGGCCAAAGCCAGGAGCTCCTTCCAGGTCTCCCACTTGGATGCAGGGGCCCAAATGCTTGGGTCATCCTCTGCCACTTTCCTAGGCACATTAACCGAGTGCTAGATCAGAAGTGCAGCAGCTGGGAATTGAACTGGTACCCATTTGGGATGCTGGTGCCACAGGCAGTGTGTGACTTAATCCACTATGCCTGCCCCTCATTTTTTCTTCTATATATTTTCTATTCATATCCCTTAACCTTTTTTTATTGGCTTGTTGTATTCTTTTTTAAGCTTTTCACTTATGAATATGAGCTTTTATTTAATTTGAGAGGCATAGAGGCAGACAGAGTTGCTATTGGCTGGTTCAGTCCACACATAACCGCAACACCTGGGGTTGGGCCTGAGGCCCGAGCCAGATGCTGGGAGCACAATCCAGGTCTCCCATGTGGGTTGCAGGAACCCAATTACTTGAGCCATCACTGCTGCTTCTCAAAGTTTACATTAGCAGGAAGCTGGAGTCAGGACTTGCAGCTAGGAATTTAATCCAGGTACTATGTATGGAATGTATCTCAACTACCAAATTAAATGCTCACTCCTAGTTTTATAACTTTTATGCAAATATAACAAGCTTTTCCTCTCCACTTCAGCCTTTTGTATCACACTTAGAAGATCCTGTCTACCCCAAGAGCTAAAACACATCAAGTTTTTTAGTGTTTCTGTGGTTTTTCTTATATTTATACCCATGAATGGTTTGAGAAAGGAATTCAACTGTATTTTCTGAGTTAGAGGAGGTTACAGACTGGTTAAAAAAGGACAAATGCACAAAGAATTAATAAATTCCTGAGGTAACTGGTCATGAATAGACACAACACAAACCATGTGAAATGCCATATTTTCATACATTAAGTATACATACACACAGAGGATATATTTTTGGATTCTATTTTGTCTGTGTATTTATTTTTGTGTTAGTCCAACATAATTCATTTTAGTATATATTTAGAGAAAATTCACACCAGAAGGTAAGGTAAATCTACCTTTTGTAGTGGCTGTCTTAATTTTCATTTACTACTATAGCCTCAGTGGCTAGACAGGTGCCAGGTATATGGTAGGTACTTAATAAATACATGGTGAAAGGATGAATAAATGAATAAGCCTCCAGCATTCTGAAATTCAATTTCTTGAACTTTTTCCCAGATTTCTGGTTAGAAGCATTTTAAAGCAGACTTCAAACATTCTTCTTGATATCATGGCTACCATAATAAAACATTACTAAAATATCATCACCAAATATGTATAAAGCAGTATGGTAGATAAAAGGATCTCAAAGATTTTTATATAGGACAGACTTCCTGCTAATGTTCTGATTGGAAAAGAAAAGCAAATATGTGTACATACATACACAAAATATGTTCAAGTGCTAAATGGGTGACAGACATGATAAGAATGCAGACCATAGGCAAAAAAAAAAAAAAAAAATTGGGTTTCTCTGAACCGGTTTTCTTATACATAAACAAACTATCAATTCCTATCTCCTAGAATAATTCAAAATTTAGAAGAGAAGGAAGTCTAAAAAAAAAAAAAGAAGAAGAAAGGGGATACACTAGTGATAGTCTTAAAATGTAGAAGGAGGGGGGCATAAGCGGGAGGCGGCGCTGTGACGCAGTACAGTGGGTTAAAGCCCCAACCTATGGTGCTGGCATCCCATATTCCAATCCAGCTAACTGCTAATGCACCTGGGAAAGTAGCAGAGGACAGACCAAGTCTTTGGGCCCCTGCACCCACATGGGAGACTCAAAAAACCTCCTCGCTCCTGGCTTCAGATGGGTTCAGCTCTGGCCATTGCAGCCGCTGGGGAGTGATTAGGGGATTGAAGACCCTTTTCTCTCCCTCTTTAAAATAAATAAAATAAATCTTTAAAAAAAATTGTAGAATGGAGGTAAGTATTTGGACACTAAGACACAGCTGGGGACACCTGCATCCCATATTGGAGTGTCTGGGTTTGAGCTCCAGCTTCACATCTGATTCCAGCATCCTGCTAATGCACATGGTGGGAGGCAGCAGGTAATGTTGGTTCCCTACCACCCAGTGGGAGACCTGGACTGAGTTCTGGGCTCTTGGTTTCAGCCTGGCCCAACCCGCCCGAGCTTTTGCAGTCATTTGGGGAGTAAACCAGAAGATGAGATCTCTGTCTCTCTCTGCTTTTCAAATAAACAAATTATTAGTTTTAAAAAATCAAAATGTGGAACAGTAGAGCTGAGCTTTAATAATTTGGAGGGTCCTTACTATGTGCCATCAATTATGCGAATTGCTTTCCTGTATTAACTCATTTAATCATTTCAACAACTCTAAGGGAAAGGTACTATCATTTCCCCCTCACCTTTAACAATGAGCATACTTAACTTTTCAGAGTTTAATTAGTTTGCACAAAGTCTCATTGTTAAGTATGAAGCTGGGTTCAAATTCAGAGTTTCTGGTTCTGGAACCTGAATATGTAACTAACATTTGAAATAGTCTTAGTATACATTAAAAGGGTAGAATCTAAAGGAGGGCGTTTGGCCTAGCAGTTAAGCTGCCAATTAGGACACCCATGTCCAGTTATCTGAGTACCTGGGTTCCAATCCCAGCTCCAGTTCCTGAATCCAGCTGCCTGCTAAGTGGACCCTGGGAGGTGTGATGATGGGCCAAGTGGGTGGGTTCCTGCCACCCATGTGGGACACCTGCATTGAGTTCCCATCTCCCAGTAGCTCAACTGGGGGGTGAACCATCAGATGGGAGTTCTGTCTGCCTCTCAAATAAATAATTTTAAAGGGCAGAATTTAGACAAACGGATCTTCATTTCCTTTAAACCTATAACAGCTGACAAAGCTACCTAATCATCCTGAAAAACAACCACCTGTTACAGCAACCATTTGTAAACTGAGTGCTTCTCCTCTAACACAACACTGCTTCCATCTTTACATTCATGAATTTTGGCAGAAAAAGAAAAAAAGAGAATAATTTATCAATTATTAACGCTATTAACCTGTTGCCAGAGCACCAACTCTGGCTGCAGCCTGGATCCTGGGGAATCGCGTCTCCCTGGCCTTTACTGCCTCCACGGGTCACTGTGATGCAAATAAATGAAAGGAAACTCAAATGCAATCCAGTTACAAGGGTTCTAAAGGTCTGTGGTTTCTAACTCGGAATCGGCTTTGCCCCTCCCCCCTTCCCTCCTCCGGTCCTAACGCCACCGGGAACTTCCTCGGATACAGAACGGTAAGAAAACACCAGGCAAGTCCCAGGACAGAGGCTCTGGGGCCGTAGGCTCCTTCACTACGAATTCTAGACACCACGCTGGCGCTACCGGGCCTTCGGCAAGGCACAGGCCTCGTGCCCAGACATGGCCCCTCCCCGGGCCCCGGCTTCCACGCGAAATCTCCACAGAGAGGTAGTGGAGTCGGCCGACAATCCCATAAAGAACTCTAATACTTCGTCTAAAAGACTCGAGTCCGGGCTCCTCGGCACCCCGACGACCTCCTCCTCCTCAGCCGCCACCTCAGATCCGTTACCTCATCCCCGCCTCGCGTTCCCGCACCAAATGACCGTGATCCCACCACACACAAGGCGTGGCGGCCTTTACCCGGCGGCTTGCGTCTCAACGCGGCAAGGGGCCTGGAGGCGGGCCCAGGATCCTCCGGGCGAGGGGGCGTGGCGCCACGCGCCAGGCAGCCAATCAGAACGCGAGTGCGTTCCAGAGGGCCGCGCGCGCCGGGCGCGGGGCGGGGCCTGTGGTGGCAGCGCTGGCAGCGCTAAGTGCTTGCTACCTGCTTCAAGCTGAGGTGGCAGATGGTGGTGACCGCCGCTGGTAGAGGCGCCGCTGGAGTAGGAGAGGATAACGATGAATGGAGCATCCGGACTCTGGTATATGGACCGTCGCGAGCGAGTTCTCAAATTAGGCAAGAGTTTCGAGAAGCAGCCGCGCTGCGCCTTCCACACTGTGCGCTGTAAGTTGAGGACGGCCCGGGGACAGAGAGGAACACCCTGGGACGGAGGTGTGGAGCCACAAAGTCCGCTAGTTCTGTTCCCTCAGGCCGCCTTACCCTGCTGGGCACTGGGAGGATGCGGGCTGGCGGCGGGAGGTTCAGCGGGATCCGCTGCTCTCTGGAGCCCCTAAGGGGCTGGCGTGGGAGCAGGCGTCCCGCGGTGTGTTAAACCCAGGATGCGTTTAAGTGAGCTGGTAAGGGGAGCTATGGAGACCTGCAGGAGTGGCTGTGGACACTGACCTGACAGGTGGATGATGCAGAGGTGTAAGGAAAACGATAAGCAAAGAATGGAAGGGAATACTGGACGAATTGAAGGGAAAGAGAAAACCTTAAGGGTGCTGGGGCAATTTTTTTTTTTCTTTCCTTTTGCTCTCCTCTGGTTAATGAGTGGTGTGTTTTGGGGAAGAGATTCTCAACCATCTCAATAATCTATCTCTTTTGCAACCCAGAGTTCATTAAGTCGTTTATGAACTACTGGAGAGTCTTAGTCACTTCTTTACATAGAGGCTGTTTACCTCCCTGTGATTTCTGCACTCTGGAACTAATTTTAATAAACGATTCTGTTTTATATTGTTAAAAAAAATAGGTAGAAAAGGGAAGCTGTTTTGCTTTAATAGTTGAGTGATTCCAGAAAGGAAAATAAAGCATATATGATTTTGTATGTAAAATTTTTTTTTGCATAATAACCCTCATCGCATTCTACAGTGGGAAGGAAACTTTGAGATCTTTGAATCATAAGCTTTCATTTTCCTGTGGCAAAATTGTAAAGTAGGTATTTTTTCACTTCCTTTCCCCAGCCCAGACCTCCTTACTGTCTCATCATTCCACCTTTATATCGTTCTGTCTGTTGTCTGAAGCCCTTAATCGTTTTTATTCTGGAATGTTCCATGGTTTAATCAAAACACCCAATTAGAAATGATATTCTCCAAACGTTTACTTAGGTTGTATATAATACAGTAACTCAAAGTAAAGATAGGAAGAATCAGTGACTTTACCCTTCCAAGGATATGTTTACACTTTATAAAAGGGTTCTCTTAAGCAAAATTATTATCCAACTGATAGAATCAGTGGGGGAGATACTTGCAAACAAATCTTCAACAGTGTCCCGTGTTTCTTCTTTACCATACTGTGCCATCCTAAGCTCCCCGCCCCCTCCCCCCAGCTGTGCTGGCTCTAGTTTCTCTTTCTCTTCAGTTCCATTTTCAAAAGTGTGATATGATTCTTATTTGGTTTCTCCATACCTGTTTTTCAGATAGTCTCTCCTCTTTCTCCTCTTCTTTCTAGGAAATTTTCCAAGTTACAAGGCTTACAATTATAAAAATTCACTTGAGAATATATGAGTATTCTCTTTTTAGGATCATCACCCCCAAATTAAGTGAACAAAAATAGCTTTGAAAAGTACCTTGCTAGTGCTTCAAAGCCTTTCATTCATAAGGTTTTTAAAATGCCAGACTCATATCTTCAGAGAATCAGATGCTCCACCTATAAGAATAAAAATAAACAACAATAATAAATAAATAAACCCAGATGTTGGAATGTACTGTGAGTTCTGGGGAAGACGGTGGAAAGGTTTTCAGAACCATATCTTTTTTTCTTGTTGAAGCAGGCCTACTAATGGCACAAAATCATTCTAGATTTATTTAAATAAAATCTGTCATTTTTCCTTCACAAAGGTACATTTCCAATATAATCCTCACTCTTTTTTGTTCTGTTTTGCTCTTTTTAAAGATTTATTTCATTTATTTGAAAGGCAGAGTTACAGAGAGAGAGCTTCCATCCTCAGGTTCACTCACCAAATTGCCAGAACAGCCAGGGCTGGGCCAGGCTGAAGCCAGGAGCCATGAGCTTCATCAGGGTCTCCCAGTGGGTGCAGGGGCCCAAGTACTTCTGATGCTTTTCTCAGGCACATTATCAGGGAGCTGAATTAGAAGTGGAGCAATTGGAACTTGAACCTGCACCCATTTGGGATGCTGGTATCTCAAGTGGTGGCTTAATGTGTTTTGTAACAATGGCAGCCTCTAATCCTCACTCTTAAGAACTTAGAGTGAGGGATAGAAGCTATAGAATAGTGAATCTGACATTATATATGGTAAGTGGACCTAATTTGTAACAAATAAGCCAGTGTAATCTGAAAGTGATATTCTGTCTTTATGTATAAGGGCAATTTTGCCTGTCTGATATACTAAACCCTGCTTTCCTCCATATATATGTGATGTGACTTGGGGAACATTCTCTAAGCTCTCAGCCTCAGTTTTCTTATGTGGAAGATATCAGTAAGAATACCTATATTTCAGGATTTTTGTAAGAATAAATAAGATAGAATAAATAATGTGACAATTTATTTGGCACATTGTAGAAATTAAATGTAGTCACTGTGAGTTTTGAAGAATTATGTTCATATGTGTAGGAGGGGTGCCAAAATGAATGTAACTTACTTTTTGAAAAAACATTGATCAGGACTTGGCAGTAAAACCTATCAAAAAGATAGCCAATGATATATCAACATCAACTGAGAGGAGGACCTTCAGTTTTGGGTAGCAAATTTCATTTGTGACCCTAACATGAGAACCAAAGTCATTTTATAAGGATGTATACAATAGATGTGAAGTAACTGACACTTAAAATCTTTCATTATTTATAAATAAGTTATCATCATGCTGTATGTGAATGCCCACAGTAATGGACTCGAGATGGTTCTCAACTTTCTAATTTTAACTCTCCTTTAAGGTTTGCTCATCTATTTAAGTATTTCCTTTAGGGAGAATATCTAGTCACTATATCTTCTTTCATGGTATCTTTCAGAGTCATCCCCTTCCTCTCTTGCTGAAGACAAACTAGTTTTTAGTCAGCTAACCACTAGAATATCTACGGCCCTTCCTGATTTGCTCTGTGCTATCTCTTTCTTAGAATCTATTTCAAAATACCCTCTTCTCTGAAGCTATTTACTCCTAGAAACTAAATTTTTTCTCTACTATTAACATTTACTGTGCCGGCGCCACAGCTCACTAGGCTAATCCTCCGCCTTGCGGCGCCGGCACACCGGGTTCTAGTCCCGGTCGGGGCGCCGGATTCTGTCCCTGTCGCCCCTCTTCCAGGCCAGCTCTCTGCTGTGCCAGGAGTGCATGGAGGATGGCCCAAGGTGCTTGGGCCCTGCACCCCATGGGAGACCAGGAAAAGCACTGGCTTCTGGCTCCTGCCATCGGATCAGCGCGGTGGCGCCGGCCGCAGCGCGCCGGCCGCGCCGTCATTGGAGGGTGAACCAACGGCAAAGGAAGACCTTTCTCTCTGTCTCTCTCTCTCACTGTCCACTCTGCCTGTCAAAAAAAAAAAAAAAATTTACTGTATTATTCATAAGAACTTAACATAAACCACCTCATATCATTTACCTCTTATAGACACAGCCTATAGACCTGTAATTTTTTAAAGCACAGCACCTCATACTTTAATTACTTGAGAACTGTGGCTCTTGCACAAGTACATTTAAAATAATGGGTATATAAGAGATCTTGTAGTTGGGTTTATATCAATCGCCCTTCTCTAAACCTATTTTAAGTGTAAATTGGGATGAATTCTGTATAAAATACTTTTCTCCTAATGATTTCCTGTGCATTACACTCACCTCTGTTTCAAAACCCTCAGTCCCCTTAGGGTAGATATTGCCATGTTTCTTTTGTACTTTTCACTAACAGTACACTACTGTTTTCACACTCTTTACTTAGTATTTTACAATAGGGCAGGCATTGTGGTGCAGTGGGTTAAACTGCTCCCAAACACCAGTATCCCATATGATCACAAGTTCGAGTCCCAGCTGTCCACTTCTTTCCAGCTTCCTGCTAATGTGCTTGGGAGGGCAGCACCTGACATCCATGTGGGAGACACAGATGGAGTTCCAGGCTCCTGATTTCAGCCTGGCCCAGCCCTGGCTGTTGCAGCTGTTTGGGGAATGTGCCAGTAGATCAAAGATCTCTGTCTCCTTTTCTCTCTATGTAACTTGGCCTTTCATATAAAGTAAATCTGAAAAAAAAATTAACAATAAAAAATTCTCTATGAATAATACACCAAGCATTAGAAATGGCATCCTTGGGGCCAGAGATGTGGCACAGCAGGTTAAGCCACCACCTGCAACACTTATGTATTTTTTTTAAATTTATTTACTTATTTGAGGTGCAGAGTTATAGAAAGAGACAGGGAGAGGCAGAGAGAGAGTTCTTCCATCTACTGGTTCACTCCCCAAATGGCTGCAACAGCTGGGGCTGGGCCAATCTGAAGTCAGGAGCCAAGAGCTTCTTTCAGGTCTCACACGAGGGTGCAGGGGCCCAAGTACTTGGGCAGTCTTGCGCTGCTTTCCTAGACCATTAGCAGGAAACTGGATAGAGAGTGGAGTAGCCAGGACCCACATGGGATGCTGGTGTCACAGGTGGTAACTCTACCTGCTGGTGCTACAGGCAGAGGTTTATCCTGCTGTGCCACAGCGCCTGTGCCTACCTCTAGTCCCAGAGGCTCTACTTCTGATCTAGCTCCCTGCTAATGTGCTTGAGAAAGCTTGAGAATGGAAGATGGCTGGAGTCCTTGGGCCCCTGCACCCACATGGGAGACCTGGATAGAGTGCCAGGCTCCTGGTTTTGGCCTGGCCCAGGCCTGGCTATTGTGCCCATTTGGGGAGTGAACCAG